CACAGAGTCATTCTCTCGTGTTGAGGCCAGAATTTACTGCTCAGAGCATGTCAAAGGACACTGTGCTTAAAATGTAGATGTACATGAACAACACCGGTGTCAGTAACGTTGCTCTATATGGGAGACAGCGAAAGGGTTAAATTATTTTCAGTAGCTGAAGGCATTTGGATTTTTTTACACTGAGATTGCACATGTGGAAATGAGGCATCAGAAACAGAGAATGAGAAGGTGAAGCTAGAATTCAAAAGCACTGCATCATGTACTGGAACCTTGCACATATGAAGCATTTTTGAATGAACTGTGTTAAAGTCCTCATGTTATCAAGGGTACTCTGTATATTGTATGATCATAGAGAACAGCTCTTTAGTTATTATAGATAATTCTGCAACTCTGAAAAATCTTCATGGAGTCAAATAGAAACTTATTGTTGATGTAACATAACATTTTGTACAGGTGGTCACTACATGAAAAGTTGAGTGAGTTCACCAGTAAGATACCATCCTCTGCACTAGTTAGGTATGATGAAGGAATCTTACCAGTTCGGTATTTTGAGCAAGAGATAGAAGACCTTGCAAGGTAACACTAGTGTGACCATGTTTCACCTCCAGCTTCCAGACATTAATATACCCTTAAATGTCCGACTTCCTGAATAACTTTCTTTTTTCTTTTTTGCAGCTTTATTGTACTTTCACACACAATTCAGAGAGGCCTAGTATTGCTCAGTTTGTTCTATTTTCACACATAATTCAGAGAAGCCTGGTATTGTTCTGTTTATTGTACTTTCACACATAATTCAGAGAAGCCTAGTGTTCTCCTCACAAACATTTCAGCAGCACTCGAAAATCTCTTATGCCTCCTCAGCTTTCATTATCACATACAGTAAAATTACCATAATACACTGTTTTCCAGATATACCATTAAAGGCTTTTGCTGCTAAAACTATAAATACGCATACATACTGTGCTCTCCACCAGTGTATTCTTCCATAAGATAATGCATGTCCTGAATTGTATTGAATAAATACAGCTTCTCCTCGCTTAATGATGGGGTTCCGTTCCTAAGAGTAGGTCGGTATTCAAACTGGTTGTTAAGCGAAGAGCGTACTATACTGGTAGTGAGTTTGTGTCAACTGTCTTTAGATTTTTTAATGTCACCTTTGCACCATTTATAACATTTTTTAGTATATTTTTAAATGTTGATACAGTAGTGTACTGTATATTGTAATAAACAGAATTCAGGAAATCAGATCTAATATAAATTACTTAGGTTTGCATACTGGCTGGAGAGCTGGTCGTAAGTCCGAGCGGTCGGTAAACGAGCTTGTTGCTCAGTGAGGAGAGGCTGTATGCAGGTTCATAATTTAGTTTATTATACATGAGGTGTTACCAGAAACATTCAAGGCAAATTTTACTTAGGAAATGAGAGTTACAAAGATGCACCTTTACAAGTGAGGCTTAGAAGACGTATTTAAAAATACGTAATTCTTTTTGCGAATGCTGCCTGTGAGCATGTTTGACACAGAGAAAAGAAGAATTTGAAATATATGGGTGAAGGAATCAAAACATAATAAATTTTTACATTTACAGACACTATTGTGGTGAGTCTGACTCAGTCAAACTTAATCCATGAAAAAAGGAAGAGAAGAAAATGCGTAGGATGCAAGCAGTGGTTGAACCTTATTAACAAACGGTTATTAAAATCACCAGCAAACCCTCATAGTCACCTGTCATGTACTAAAACCATTTGGAAATAATGGTGAATTAATGACAAAATGTTAGATAAAAGGACACAGATATAACTAATGTGACATTTTATTGTGGCAATGTTTCGCTCTTCAGGAACTTCGTCAAACTGTAACGGCTTGACAAAGTTCCTGGAGAGTGAAACATTGCCACAATAAAATGTCCCATTAGTTGCATATGTGTCCATTTACCTAACAACAGCAACAGTGACAACAGCAACAACAACAATTATAATAATAAAGGAGAAAGTTAAAAGTGAACATAGATAAGAGTAAGGTGATGAAGGTGTCAAACGATTTCGATAAAGAAAAATTGGATATCACATTGGAGAGAGGGAGTATGGAAGAAGTGAATGTTTTCAGATATTTGGGAGTTGACTTGTCAGCAGATGGGTTTGTGAAGGATGAGGTTAACCATAGAAATGATGAAAGAAAAAAGGTGAGTGGTGCATTGAGGTATCTGTGGAGACAAGAAACATTATCCGTGAAGGCAAAGAAGGGAATGTACGAGAGTATGGTGGTACCAACACTCTTACGTATATGGGTGTGAAGCATGGGTTATAAATACCGCAGAGAGGAGGAGGCTGGAGGCCTGTGTCTAAGGGCAATGTGTGGTGTAAATATTATGCAGAGAATTTGTAAGTGTGGAAATTAGGAGGAGGTGTGGAGTTACTAAAAGTATTAGTCAGAGGGCTGAAGAGGGGTTGTTGAGGTGGTTTGGTCATTTAGAGAGAATGGAACAAAGTAGAAAGACTTGGAGAGCATATACATCTGTAGGGGAAGGAAGGCAGGGTGGAGGTCATCCTCGAAAAGGTTGGAGGGAGGGGGTAAAAGAGGTTTTGTGGGCAAGGGGCTTGGACTTCCAGCAAGCGTGCATGATCGTGTTAGATAGGAGTGAATGGAGACGAATGGTTTTTGGACCTGACGAGCCGTTGGAGTGTGAGCAGGGTAATATTTAGTGAAGGGATTCGGGAAAACCGGTTAGCCGGACCTGAGTCCTGGAAATGGGAAGTATAATGCCTGCACTTTAAAGGAAGGGTTTGGGATATAGGCAGTTTGGAGGGATGTCTAAACTCATATTTGAGAATCTCTGCAAAGACATTGATTATGTTTGAGTGATGGTGAAAGTGTTGAATGTTGATGAAAGTTTTTTCTTTCTTTTTGGGTTTTTCTTTCTCTTTGGGTCACCCTACCTCAATGGGAAACAGCTGACGTATTAAAAAATAATAATGATATAAGTATTAATATTAAAATTTCATAAAACTTCACAAAGTTTATGAATGCCAGTAAATCCATTGTTCACATTTTATTTAAATATCTATGGATTGTTTGGATTTTGCTGTATGACCCTAATGCATTTAGCACTCCTGTAATGATTAATAATAATTTAGATGGGAGCAATGCACCAGTTAACATGGCTGTATTTCCTTAAAACTTAACTCATTGATGTTTTATTACAGCTTATGTGAAAGGTGAACATAATGTGCATGAGGACTGGTAAATCCACTGAGAATATTTCATAATACTTGCATGGCTAGTTTTGATTTTGATCTGCACTCAATGTCAACAGAGTTGTACAATGTATCTGATTAAATATTTCTTCAATGGCTTTAATGTTGAAATTTGGTAATAAATAATATGAAAGAAGTGATGAGGATCACAGTGATGAGGAAGCTAAAATGAAATTTTATAACCATGTTTCATATTTTCCAGTTCATTGTTGTTGTGAGTGTTCCTCTTATACATTATTTCCTAATTTGTCTTGTGTTTAAGCAAAATTTGTTCATTTTCTGTATGTATGTATGTATGTGAGTGTATATATGCTTATACAGTGGTGATGTCGTGTCTAAGGGCAATGTGTGGTGTAAATATTATGCAGAGAATTCGTAGTGTGGAAATTAAGTGCAGATGTGGAGCTATTAAAAGTATTATTCAGAGGGTCGAAGAAGGGTTGTTGAGGTTGTTTAGACATTTAGAGAGGATGGAGCAAAACAGGATGACATGAAGTGTGTGTAAATCTGTTGTGCAGGGGAGGAAGGGTAGGGGTCGTTCAAAGAAAGGATAGAGGGAGGGGGTAAGAGGTTTTCTGTGCAAGGGGCTTGGACATGCAGCAGGCATGTGTGTGTGTGTGAGGAGTGAATGGAGACAAATGGTTTTTGGGAGCTGATGACCTGTTGGAGTGTGATATTTTGTGAAGGGGTTCAGGGAAACCAGTTAGCTGGATTTGAGTCCTGGAGGTCTGGAGGTGGGAAGTATAATGCCTGCACTTTAAAGGAGGGGTTTGGGATATTTGCTGTTTGGAGTGACATCTAAACTGTCCTATCTGGGCACCTCTGCAAGGATAGTGATATCATGTGAATGATGGTGAAAGTGTCTGTTTTTTGGGTCACCCTCCCTTGGTGGGAGATGGCCATCATGTTGAAATTAATTAATGAATAATTAAATAAATAATTTTTTTTTTAACATGTCACCCATTTACCACCGAGGCAGGGTGACCCCCCCAAAAAAGAGAAAACCCAAAAAGAAAGAAAAAAAAACTTTCATCATCATTCAACACTTTCACTGTCATTCATACATAATCACTGTCTTTGCAGATGTGCTCAGATATGACAGTTGAGATGTCACTCCAAACTGCCAATATTCCAAACCCCTCCTCTAAAGTGCAGGCATTGTACTTCCCATTTCCAGGACTCAAGTCCGGCTAATCGGTTTCCCTGAATCCCTTCACAAAATATTACCCTGTTCACACTCCAAGAGCTCAAGCCCCAAAAACCATTTGTCTCCATTCACTTCTATCTAATACACACACACATGCCTGCTGTATGTCCAAGCCCCTTACACATAAAACCTCTTCCTCCATCCTTTCCTAGGACCACCCTACCCATCCTCCCCTCCAATACAGATTTATACACCCTCTATATCATCCTATTTTGCTCTCTCCTCTCTAAATGACCAAACCACCTCAACAATCCCTCTTCAGCCCTCCGACTACAAATTCTCTGCATAATATTTACACCACACATTGCCCTTAGACACGACGTGTCCACTGCCTCCAGCCTCCTCCTCACCGCAATATTCACAACCCATGCTTCACACCCATATAATATATGACATTAATATTATAGAAATTACAGTATAGTATTTGCATTTCACCAAATACATAAATTCTTTATTGGTATATTTGAGGCCTGTGAAGGATATGAAGAATTTTTCTTATATTAGCAATGCCCATTTTCATTGTTTATTTTTTCATTAACAGATTTAGTGCTGACTTGGAGCAGTTTGCAGATGAGCTGTTAAAGAAAGCTGGTGTATAAATTGTTAAGTTTACCTTCATGTAAATTATACAAGAAATACAGTGAGAATCTAGTCAGGTGTGTATGAACTGTATTGTATTATACTCAGGTTTCATATACCCCAATGATTACATTAATGTTCTTCATTTAAAATTTAAAATAAAAAGATGTTTTTAAAGGGTTCCTAATAAGGTCACTTCCAGAGAGTAGTAATGTATTAACAAGAAGTAAAAAAAATAAACTCTCTTAAAAACATTCAGGTATGCAATAAGATCATAGTAAATAGGTGATATCGCATTATGCAAAATAACTGCTGTGAAAAACAAGTGAATTTCCAAGCACATTCACAATTTTTTACATTATCAAGGACCTGTAACAGTTCCTTGATAATGTGATAAATCATGAAAGTACTTGGAAATTCACATTTTTTTCACAGTGGTTATGTTGCACATTGAAGTATGTTTGAGTATGATTTATATTGTCCAGTGGATTCAGATCACAATTTGAATAACAGCACATGATATTAAAATCCCCACTGGTAGACAAAGAGAATTTTGAAACTTCATCCACAAAAGGACACCAGTAGATACCAAAGTTGCTTCTTAATACTATATATATTTGCCTAATATATGAGTTTTATTTATTTAATGTCAATTTATATAGATTACTGAGATGCTCAAGTACATGATTTATTTATTATTCTGTCACTTAAGCAGATAATGTTGCTAAGTAATTTTACATATATTACACACCAGAATTATCTTTAATCTGAAATATTTCTTTCTTGCCACTTATGTGTAGTGTTTACAAAGGTAAGACTTGAGTGCTGGGTAGCTGTGCTCACATGTGCTAACATCTCATATTTCTAGTGCTGGGCATCTTTGATTTTGTTTGGCAGAAATGTCAGTCCTGAGAGAAAGTGTTTGGCCGGGGCATAAATCATAGCCTAGCTAAATCAAGCAGCACTAATGGTGAGCAGAGTTCGTGAAATGGAATCCCAGTATTTCGATTTTTCAGCTTGTAACCAATCAGATCATTCCTGTTTTCTCGCGAATCTCATTGTCATTTTCAGCATTAAGATTTTGGAAAACCATATGTTTTACCAATAATTTTATCAGCCTTTTTATAATCAAATATTCCAGAGTAATGTTAACTTAATACATTAAATTGATTTACATGGTTATCATGTTAAGATGACCTTGTATGTACTGTACTGCCATAGAGTGGACACAATTTGCTATATAAACATATTGTAGTGCAAAGTCTTCTCTGTTATGTACTGTACGTTTTATTTTGATATAAAATGTGTGTACAGTAATGAAGTTTTACACATGTAAGATAATAAAAGCATTCCAAGAACAGGATTTTTCCCCCCATCCCTAAATATTGCATTAGCAAGTTATCAGTGTTGTAAGTGCAGTTACCACTAGTGATAGTTCCATTTAATATCACTAATGTTGCAAACTGATTAATATTGAAACCCCTAGTTTTGTTGTGTTACCTGTAATAAAACAAATTGTTCATTGCAGGAAGGGAAGCATTGGATTTTCGAGAAACACTGAAATTCGTAATTTTTTATCTTTTAATTATTTACAACATTTTGTACCTCTAATATTGTTTTAATTGCATTTAAATTCATTTCAGAAGAAAAATTAAATAAAAAGCATTTTTTGGATATGGAAAATCAAATGAGTATGTACATTTTGTGATATCTTCATCATAGGAGACGTGCCAGGCAGAAAGAAAACAGCCATCACAAAAGAAAACTCACATTTCATGACTAGTGCAAGTCAAACAAATATGAATATACCAAATCTGCATGAAAATACCATTTACAAAAAATAAATTCATTTGCAAACTCAAGAGTAATAGGTAAAAATTGTAAAATTTGAAAAAAATATTGTTACAATGAGCCCAGCCCAGTTGGCTATACCCTAAGTATCACTCTGCTTAGGTTTTGTAAAAAACAAAAGTAACTCAATAGAGGTAACTGAAGGGGTCAGCTTATTTTCACTGTTTTAAGATATCTGTTCATTCAATTTAAACACCAGCTTCTTTGTTTAACTGATTGTGGACCTGATGGTGACTGACCTAGTACTGAAGTACCGGTTTTCTGGTGAATGCTGGATATTCACTATTTCTCCTATCAAACGAGACCTGGAAAATGTTGGCTGCAGAATAATCAGTCGCCAGATATTTGATGATTTACTCTTTATTATTTTATTAAAAGCACAATGCCCAGTGAGTTCTGGGGGTCATTCAGCACTACACCTGTCAGTAAGGTCATATATCATTAATAATGCATATCACTGCCAAGATCACTATTCTGGGCCATATCCTTTCAGAGGGCTGCACTCCATTCTTAAATCAAACCACCCACTCCTCCCTCTGTTTTCTTCAATTAGTGGAGATATTTCACCTTTTGTAAAATATAGCTACTTGACAGAAAAAAAAAAAAACAGCTCTCTCCAGCCCAGTTACAGTACTCCTCCTGGGAAAAGTGTTGTGACTGTGTCACTCCATTTGATGTTAATTGGATCATGTTAGGGTGTTGGATGGCCCTCCAGTGAAATTAGATGAACATTTGATGGCAAGAGTACTAATGGAAGTTACCTACAGATTCATGAGGGGCAAATGAAAGTGTACTGCTCTTGATGTATTTTTCAGTTCACCCATCCCCAAATATCAGCTGACACTGTAGTTCTGTTGGTGCTTTCCAAACAGGTGGTTTTGGCAAGTCTTTCTCAGTTAATTTTGGAGGTGCCATCCAGGTACTGAACACCAGGTATAGTAAGAAATGATTTCAATAGACAACAGTACTACCTGTTTCAGATGTAATCACAATTCAGGGGAGATGAGGGATTTTTTCATTCCCTGAGCTGCTCTCCAATTTGACCTTACAGTATTTTATAAGACCACTATGATGCCCTATTCTCCAATTGCCTATCAACCCTCCAATACTGGGTTACCTTAATGCAGTGGTGGGGTTTGTGGTAATGCAGGGTGATACTTCTGGAAATCAGGTAACACCAAAGTGTGCCTCTGGAGATCAATTATTTCTAAAGGGTTGTCTGAAGTTGAGGGTCAGGCTGCTTTAAGTTGTGTTTTCTGTGTTGTTTCAAGATGATGTGTACAATTGTTTGTCATATGAATGTGTAAATTCAAGAATTATGTGGATTAAAGTAAAGGTTGGATGCGAGAAGTGGGTCATAATAAGCGTGTATGCACCTGGAGAAGAGAGGAATGCAGAGGAGAGAGAGAGATTTTGGGAGATGTTAAGTGAATGTATAGGAGCCTTTGAACCAAGTGAGAGAGTAATTGTGGTAGGGGACTTGAATGCTAAAGTAGGAGAAACTTTTAGAGAGGGTGTGGTAGGTAAGTTTGGGGTGCCAGGTGTAAATGATAATGGGAGCCCTTTGATTGAACTTTGTATAGAAAGGGGTTTAGTTATAGGTAATACATATTTTAAGAAAAAGAGGATAAATAAGTATACACGATATGATGTAGGGCGAAATGACAGTAGTTTGTTGGATTATGTATTGGTAGATAAAAGACTGTTGAGTAGACTTCAGGATGTACATGTTTATAGAGGGGCCACAGATATATCAGATCACTTTCTAGTTGTAGCTACACTGAGAGTAAAAGGTAGATGGGATACAAGGAGAATAGAAGCATCAGGGAAGAGAGAGAGGTAAAGGTTTATAAACTAAAAGAGGAGGCAGTTAGGGTAAGATATAAACAGCTATTGGAGGATAGATGGGCTAATGAGAGCATAGGCAATGGGGTCGAAGAGGTATGGGGTAGGTTTAAAAATGTAGTGTTAGAGTGTCAGCAGAAGTTTGTGTTACAGGAAAGTGGGTGCAGGAGGGAAGAGGAGCGATTGGTGGAATGATGATGTAAAGAGAGTAGTAAGGGAGAAAAAGTTAGCATATGAGAAGTTTTTACAAAGTAGAAGTGATGCAAGGAGGGAAGAGTATATGGAGAAAAAGAGAGAAGTTAAGAGAGTGGTGAAGCAATGTAAAAAGAGAGCAAATGAGAGAGTGGGTGAGATGTTATCAACAAATTTTGTTGAAAATAAGAAAAAGTTTTGGAGTGAGATTAACAAGTTAAGAAAGCCTAGAGAACAAATGGATTTGTCTGTTAAAAATAGGAGAGGAGAGTTATTAAATGGAGAGTTAGAGGTATTGGGAAGATGGAAGGAATATTTTGAGGAATTGTTAAATGTTGATGAAGATAGGGAAGCTGTGATTTCGTGTATAGGGCAAGGAGGAATAACATCTTGTAGGAGTGAGGAAGAGCCAGTTGTGAGTGTGGGGGAAGTTCGTGAGGCAGTAGGTAAAATGAAAGGGGGTAAGGCAGCCAGGATTGATGGGATAAAGATAGAAATGTTAAAAGCAGGTGGGATGTAGTTTTGGGAGTGGTTGGTGCAATTATTTAATAAATGTATGGAAGAGGGTAAGGTACCTAGGGATTGGCAGAGAGCATGCATAGTTCCTTTGTATAAAGGCAAAGGGGATAAAAGAGAGTGCAAAAATTATAGGGGGATAAGTCTGTTGAGTGTACCTGGTAAAGTGTATGGTAGAGTTATAATTGAAAGAATTAAGAGTAAGACGGAGAATAGGATAGCAGATGAACAAGGAGGCTTTAGGAAAGGTAGGTAGTGTGTGGACCAGGTGTTTACAGTGAAACATATAAGTGAACAGTATTTAGATAAGGCTAAAGAGGTCTTTGTGGCATTTATGGATTTGGAAAAGGCGTATGACAGGGTGGATAGGGGGGCAATGTGGCAGATGTTGCAAGTGTATGGTGTAGGAGGTAGGTTACTGAAAGCAGTGAAGAGTTTTTTAACGAGGATAGTGAGGCTCAAGTTAGAGTATGTAGGAAAGAGGGAAATTTTTTCCCAGTAAAAGTAGGCCTTAGACAAGGATGTGTGATGTCACCGTGGTTGTTTAATATATTTATAGATGGGGTTGTAAGAGAAGTAAATGCGAGGGTCTTGGCAAGAGGCGTGGAGTTAAAAGATAAAGAATCACACACAAAGTGGGAGTTGTCACAGCTGCTCTTTGCTGATGACACTGTGCTCTTGGGAGATTCTGAAGAGAAGTTGCAGAGATTGGTGGATGAATTTGGTAGGGTGTGCAAAAGAAGAAAAATTTAAAAGGGGAATACAGGAAAGAGTAAGGTTATGAGGATAACAAAAAGATTAGGTGATGAAAGATTGAATATCAGATTGGAGGGAGAGAGTATGGAGAGGTGAACGTATTCAGATATTTGGGAGTGGACGTGTCAGCGGATGGGTCTATGAAAGATGAGGTGAATCATAGAATTGATGAGGGAAAAAGAGTGAGTGGTGCACTTAGGAGTCTGTGGAGACAAAGAACTTTGTCCTTGGAGGCAAAGAGGGGAATGTATGAGAGTATAGTTTTACCAACGCTCTTATATGGGTGTGAAGCGTGGGTGATGAATGTTGCAGCGAGGAGAAGGCTGGAGGCAGTGGAGATGTCATGTCTGAGGGCAATGTGTGGTGTGAATATAATGCAGAGAATTCGTAGTTTGGAAGTTAGGAGGAGGTGCGGGATTACCAAAACTGTTGTCCAGAGGGCTGAGGAAGGGTTGTTGAGGTGGTTCGGACATGTAGAGAGAATGGAGCGAAACAGAATGACTTCAAGAGTGTATCAGTCTGTAGTGGAAGGAAGGCGGGGTAGGGGTCGGCCTAGGAAGGGTTGGAGGGAGGGGGTAAAGGAGGTTTTGTGTGCGAGGGGCTTGGACTTCCAGCAGGCATGCGTGAGCGTGTTTGATAGGAGTGAATGGAGACAAATGGTTTTTAATACTTGACGTGCTGTTGGAGTGTGAGCAAAGTAACATTTATGAAGGGATTCAGGGAAACCGGCAGGCCGGACTTGAGTCCTGGAGATGGGAAGTACAGTGCCTGCACTCTGAAGGAGGGGTGTTAATGTTGCAGTTTAAAAACTGTAGTGTAAAGCACCCTTCTGGCAAGACAGTGATGGAGTGAATGATGGTGAAAGTTTTTCTTTTTTGGGCCACCCTGCCTTGGTGGGAATCGGCCGGTGTGATAATAATAAAAAAAAAAATTATGCATCTTACTGTTTGGTTGATGGTGTTGGTGAGGTAAACAGTAGCAGCCTTGAACCACTACTACTAGGATTTATTTGTGAAATTTTGCCTTCGCTAAACCACCTGACCAGAACCTGAACCTCTGTGCTATTGATACAGTTGATTTTGAATGCTCTTTGTACTTAAAAAAAAAAAAAAAGGCCTGATGGGAGACATGTTGGATAAATGAAAGGTTTTTGCTGTGTTCTTTTACCTCCATTTATTCCACACAGTAATTTTATTTAACAATGGTCATTAGGAGCTACACGAGAATGATAATATAAAACAAAATGTACCTTAATGACGACAATATTTGCAAAATACTCAAATATTAAATTTAAGATACTGTAATTATATTGTTATTGCACTGTAGGGTTGTTGACAAATACATATAGTAATAAGACAGTTTGCAGACAAAACCTTTATCTTAAAGACATTTTGCCCACACAGACTTTTATCAATACAGTATGGATATATATAATAAAAAAGGTGGTGAGAAGTTAGGAATAGTCGAATAATAGATGGGCAAGTGTTAACCCATGCTGTCTTGAGCATCCTTGAACACTATTTCTCAACAACGCACAATAAGAACAAAGCAAGCTTCATTTTATAGAATAAAGAGGAACATGCCGACTGGACAAAAGTTGAAATGAGAAAATAGGTTATGAAGACCATGTTTAGAGGCACACATACATAGACTTCTACCAGTCTACTGAGCAAAATGATTGAGTGCCACAAAACGCATTTAAAATCAGCTTGAAAATTTCTCAAAAAAATGTGTGCAGGTAACTCAGTCATGTTGAATGTGTTATGTACTGATAAAGCTGTGTGGGTGAAGCATTTTTAAAATTGAAGCTTTATTTATCTGCATATAGTGTACTAGTACCATAATTAGTGTGACTAATGACATGTTTGACTATGCAAAATACTACACATGTCCAGTGTCCCAGCACAAATTAGGTTTAAAGCAGTGCATCTGTGCACTACATCAAAGATACTTTATCGACCGAAGACTGAATATAGTAAAAGTTCTCAATGTGAGTGCAGAGATAAACATCTCGTGGTATTTATTCTGTCATTATAAGTATGGAAACTTTAATACATAATTTGAACTTGACTCTTGGCAGATGAGTGTGTCTAACTCAGCTGTTTTGTAACTGCTGCTACTCAACAAATAATGCCAAATAATATAAATATTTTATGCTAATATTAACACTGAAATGATTATCTAAGAACTATGGTGCAGCAGTGCAAGACACTTGTGGGTTTAGTGCTTAGTTCTGATTTCAGTAATAATAATTACGGTATCTGGAACTTTCAGCAATATTTCTATGGTTGTAGAAGCAAAGATTAGTCAAGTATTTTTGTATCAATGTACTAACTGAGGATTAAATAAGCATTGTTTTTAATGAAATAAATAGTTTAGAAAACCCACAAGTTGAAGAATGAGACACTTGTGCAACATTTGGGAATACTGTGGAAATGTTTTGCCAGCCAGTAACTTCTTCAGTCCAATACAGAGAAGAATGGTGGAAGACGAGGAGTTTGAGGTAATCAGTTTCTCAGTCTGAGGCTGAGGGACTGATATCCTCAAACTTATCCTCATCTTCCACTGTTCTTCTCTGTATTGGACTGAAGTAGTCACTGGCTGGCAAAAAGTTTACAAAATAAAAAAATTCCCTAATAAAAGTCTCATTCTTCAACTGTTGTTAGTATTAACTTCGACGATAAAGCAACGTGGTATCAAAGACATTTACTTATAAGTCATTGTTGTCCCTTGCTCTGAATGCATTTATTCAGTAAAGCTGTAACTTCAAGACTGCCATCACTGTCATTAACCAAGGGAAGTCTTGTCTATGCTATGGCATAACTCCTCAAAAAAAAAAAAAAAAAAAAAAAAAAATCTTTCTTTTGCTCTCTCTATCAGCTAGATTTTTGTTTAACATTTCTGTAAGTGGTGTGAGGCTCACCTCTTGAATCTAACAAGAGGAGATTACTTGTTACTGCTGGACCGTCTTGATGGGGTCATTACTGCTGGACTATCTTGAATGGGTCATTACTGCTGAACTATCTTGATGGGGATGTGGATCCTGCAACACAAATTTATGATAAAATTATAGTGCATCTCTGTATATCTGTTAAAAATGCTGTAATAAATCTTTACATTTCTAAACAATAGATATTATTATAGGAATTATTCTTTACCAAGCATAAAGATATTGTTTTTTGTTGGGTCCCTGGTCATGTTGACATACAGGGCAATGAACAGGCAGACACTGCTGCGCGGTCAGCAGTACATGACCTACCAGTTTCATATAGAGGTATTCCATTTATGGACTATTTTGCTGCAATAGCTACCCACCTTCACACCCGTTGGCAACAACGTTGGTCTATTCTGCTCGGTAACAAACTTCAATCTATTAAACCGAGTATAGGTTACTGGCCGTCTTGTCACCAGTGTCGAGGCTGGGAGACTACTCTCTCCCGTCTTCGCATTGGGCATACTCGTCTTACTCATGGATATCTCATGGAGAGGCGCCCTGCTCCTCTGTGAGAATTGTCAGGTTCCATTATCAGTCGGCCACATTCTGTTGGACTGCCCACTTTATCAACGAGCACGCAGAATTTACCTCTGTTGTCGTCTTCACTCTGCTGCTCTCTCTACCTTCCCTTCTCGCTGATGGACCCACCTTTCATCCGGACTCTCTCATTGACTTTTTGACAACGACTGACTTACTTCACAAACTCTGATACCTTCAGCCCTTTCTACCTCAATCTCTTGCTACCCTCTACCCCCGCACTATCCCCTGCCCCGCTGTTTTCTGTAACCTACTGATTATCCCTCCCCCCTTCTGCCGCCCAATACCCTTGCTTCCTTCCCTACCCTGCAGCACTGTATAGCCCTTGTGGCTTAGCGCTTCTTTTTGATTATAATAATAATATAGGAATTATGGAAAAGCATTACTTTAAGGACTGTATAGCACTTGGAAAATGAGAGGTAATCAGGTTTGACATAAGGGGGGGAAGAGTAACTGCGCTTCCTTGGATCAAGAACCCTTCACCAGTATCAAGGTAGCCCTCTGAAGAGAACTAATCAGTTGCTTATGACTTATCTTTACAAAAAGGATGCATTTTGGACATCAGTGATTGGGACGTCAATGACCAGGACATTGTTTGAAAACAAAAACAAATGTCAGGTATTTTTTCCCCAATAAAAGCACCTACAATATATGCAAGAAAAGAGACTGCTGCAGTTATATACCTAAAAATTTAAATCGATGGACTGATATTTGCACTTTTTATTTTTTCCAACAAGTCAGCTGTCTCCCACCGAGGCAGGGTGACCCAAAACATAGAAAGAAAATCCCCAAAAAGAAAATACTTTCATCATTCAACACTTTCACCTCACTCACACATAATCACTGTTTTTGCAGAGGTGCTCAGAATACAACAGTTTAGAAGCATATATGTATAAAGATACACAACATATCCCTCCAAACTGCCAATATCCCAAACCCCTCCTTTAAAGTGCAGGCATTGTACTTCCCATTTCTAGGACTCGAGTCCGGCTCTGTAAAAATAACCAGTTTCCCTGAATCTCTTCACTAAACATTACCCTGCTCACACTCCAACAGCACATGTAAACTTCAAATTTGGAACAAATAAACTTAAGAGATTTCTTTGGCTAATTTAAGAAAAATAAAAAAAAATTTGGTAATAAGACAATTAGTAAGTTGAGAAGCTCACCTTAACACCTTATCATCCTGATAGAAAGTGTTTGAGGTGCCACCCAGAGAAGCATTGGTTCCTAAAGTGATCTGTTTGTTGAATTTCTCTGAAGCATCATGAGTTAGATCTGACTGAACAATCTCGCCCACTTCTACATCAACATGGTCAGTAGCCAACTGTGACTTGACTGGTGCATTAAGCCAAGCTGGGGGAGTGTTGAACCAGGATGGAGGAGTTTTGAACCACCATGGGGTGGCATTGAACCACTGTGGTAGACTATTGAACCACTCTGGAACCTGTAAGACAAGGGGAAGTTAATGGTTTCATTACTTTAACCCTTAAACTATCCAAACAAATTTACGTTCACATGTGTAGTGCTCCAAAAGTAGATCTACGTTTTTTTAAATTTTCAAATATTGAAAAAACGTAGATCTATGTTTGGACAGTTTAAGGGTTAATTTAAAGTTTGTTAGTTAAGGCAGAAAGTTTTATGATAATTAACTAATTTTAGATAATATTGTGGAAACTTGTGATAATTTTATTGCAATTTGTATAATAAAGGGATAATACTGTTTAGAAAATATTGTAGGAGTGTATCTTTAATGTTACTTTGGGAAGATATTAAGTCATGAGAACCTATATTCTCTAATTTCCTTATTTTTGGTAATTAGTTAAGTAAAATGTAATTGTGATAATGATGGGGGAAATTAATGTTTTGATAAAGGAAAATGTGTTACACACCTAGAAATATCCCTAACTATAAATAAATGTATGTATACAATAGCGTTTTGAAGGGGAAGCGCTGAATATGGTGTAATGGAAGAACGGACAGGAATTTGTCTACATTTTCCATTGTAATCAGTCGACAGAAATACAGCCTAACCTCACTTAACGATGGAGTTCTGTTCCTAAGACCACTTTGTTAAGTGAATTCGTCACTAAGTGAGGAGCATACTATGGTAGCGAGTTTGTGTCAACCATCTTTGATATTGTTTTAATGTCACCTTTGCACCATTCATAACATTTCTGGTATATTTTTAAATGTTTATACGGCAGTGTACTGTATACTGAAATAAACAGAAAACAGAGGAAATCAGCTCTAATATATATTATTTATGTATAGACTGGTCAGAGAGCCCGTTGTATAAGTTTTTATTCTGTGATTTGAAGACTCGCCCTCCAGCCATGGAGACAATGAAGTATATGCAAGTTATCTTCTAGTACAGTACACTAACAAGGAACGTCTTCGATTGTGATGCTCTTGATTTCATGGGACTTACCCCCCCCCATCCCCCCCCCATTTAGCACATAATCTTACATCGCAGGTCCCAGCCTGGAGAAGACCCGGGCCGGATGTACTGCGAATCAACATTTATGTATGAATGAATGAATAAAAATTACATAGAACTAACCTCATAACAAAAATCACTAACAGTTACAAGTCAATATTTGAAAGTTTCAAGATGGTACTTTATCTTCCCCCCCCGCCCCCCCCTATTTAAAACAGAAAAACTTTTTACAGTTCAGTCATTTTTTGCTTTTGTTTACCTATGTTGAGTCAAGAGGGTGAAATTCAGGTCAATAAAGCTGCAAACTTACACACTGAAATGTATTGCAAGACAGGTATACATAGACAGAACTAGACACGGTATACAAAGAAGGTATACAAGACAGTTACTACATACGACAAATTGAAAGTTAAGACACTGTGCAACATCTGGTTATCTTATTGTAAGTTTTGCCATCCAGTGGCTTTATCAATACAAATTTTGGCATATAGATAACCAGATGTTGATCAAGGGTCTGAACACAGTTAGCAGTGAAAGTTCAAGCTGTCACACACAAACTGGTTCAGCTGTCACACATAACAAGGTTCAGCCTAGTACACAAACTGGTATCAGCTAGTCACACAAACTGGTTACAGCCTAGTCACACAAACTGTGTTCAGCTAGTCACACAAACTATGTTCAGTCAGTAACAAACTGTGTTCAGCCAGGTCACAAATCCACTTCCAACAGATTATTTTTAGTCATTGTGTCACTCAATACACGTGTGATAATTTTGTGGTATTTTTTCAGAAAAGGTAGTTTGATATACTGAAACACGTTTAAAACACTTGACCTCAGGTCAATATGAAAGTGAATGATAACTACTTGTCCCAACATGTAGCCTGTCTTACTGCCATTGTAAACTTGCCTACTGATGATAGGCTATTATTGTAAAATCGTCTGGCTGTATTAACAGGAGTTGTGTTGTCCTAGGTGGGCTAATGCCAACCCCCTACCAGGGCAGTTTGAGGGGATTAATGCCAACTCCCTACTTAGGGTGTCTTGGGGGCTAATGCCACCTCCCTAACAGGGTGGTACTGGGCTACGCCACCTCCCCAACCCACCTGTGTACTAGGGGCTAATGCACACCCTTCCTACAGGCTCCTGGGGGAGTCTAACAAACTTGCCCCATCCCTACCAAGGGTGTCTCAGTGGGCTACACACCCACTCCCTACCTCAGGCAGTCCAGTGGCAAACGCTGTCCCTTCACCAAACGGTGGTTTAGGGCTACACACAACTTGTTCAAGGCCGGTCCACAACCTCCCACTCCCACACAAGGGAGTCCATTTGGGAGGGCATATGTCACTGCAACACAAGTTGTGCTCACATTTCCTGTTGGCTATTTTCTTCAGAAAATGGGGTATGTATTACGAAACCGTTTAAACACTTGACTCTCTCAGGGTCTATGAAAGTGAATGATATACTTACTGTCCCACACTGTAGACCTGTCTTACTGCACAGTAAACTTACCCTACTGAAATGATAGGCCTACTATATTGTAAATCAGGTCTGCTGTATTGCAGGGTAGGTCTGTGTTGTCCTGGGGGGCTAATGTCACCCTCTCCCAAACCAGGGTGGTCCTGTGGGGCTAACGCCACCCCCTCTCTACTGAGGGCAGTCCTGGGAGGCTAGCACCACCCTTTCCCCTTCCAGGGCAGTCCTAGGGGTCTAACACCACCCCTCCCTACCCAGGGCAGTCCAGTGGGGCTAATGCCACCCCCTCCCTACCCAGAGCAGTCCAGTGGGGCAAATGCTACCCCCTCTCTACCCAGGGCTGTCCTGGAGGGCAAATGCTAACCCTCTTCCTATCCAGGGAGGTTCTGAACCACTAATGCCACTTTCTCCCCACCCATGGCGGTTTTGGGGGGCAAACGCAACCCCTTCTCTACCAAGGGGGATCCTGGGGGTTAATGCCACCCCCTCTCTACCCAAGGTGGCCCTGAGGGGCTAACGCCACCCCCTCTCTACCCAGGACGTTCCTGGGAGGCTAACGCCACACCTTCCCTACCCAGGGTGGTTTTGGGGGGCTAATGCCCCCTCCCTGCCCAGGGTGGTCCTGGGGAGCTAACCCCACCCTTTCTCTACCCAGGGCAGTCCTGGGCAGCTTATGTCACCCCCTCCCTACCAAGGGCAGTCATGGGGGGCTAACACCACCCCCTCTACCTAGGGCAGTGCTGGTGGACTAATGCCACCCCCTCCCTACCCAGGGCAGTCCTCGAGGGCAAATGCTAACCCTCTTTCTACCCAGGGGAGTTCTGAAGAGCTATCATCACTCCCTCCCTCCCCAGGGCAGCCCTGGGGGCTAACACCACCTCCACCCCACACAGGGCAGTCCTGGGGGGCTAATGCCACACCCTCCCTACCCAGGACAGTCCTGGGGAGCTAGTGCCGCCACCTTCTTACCCAGGGCAGTCCTGGGGGGCCAACGCCACCCCCTCTCAACCCAGGGCAGTCCTGGATGGCAAATGCCACCCCTCTTCCTACCCAGGGGGGTTCTGAAGGGCTAATGCCACTCCTTCCCTACCCACAAAGGTTTTGAGGGGCAAACGCCACCCTTTCCCTACCAAGGGGGATCCTGGGGGGTTAATGCCACCCACTCTCTACCCAGAGCAATACTGAGGGGCTAATGCCACCCTGTCCCTACCCAGGGCGGTCCAGGGGGCTAAAGCTGACCCCCTCCTAACCCAGGGTGGTCCTGGGAGGCTAATGCTACCCCCTCTCTACCCAGGTCGGTCCTGGGTGGCTTATGTCACCCCGTCCCTACCAAGGGCGGTCATGGGGGGCTAACGCCACCCTCTCTCTACCCAGGGCAGTCCTGGGAGGCTAGCGCCACCCTTTCCCCTTCCAGGGCAGTCCTAGGGTCTAACACCATCCCCTCCCTACCCAGAGCAGTCCAGTGGGGCAAACGCCACCCCCGCTCTACCAAGGGGGGTCCTGGGGGTTAATGCCGCCCCCCTCTAGCCAAGGCAGCCCTGAGGGGCTAACACTGCCCCCTCCCTACCCAGGGCAGTCCTGGAGGGCAATAGCCACCCAGTCTACCCAGGATGTTCCTGGGGGTTAATGCCACACCCTCCCTACCCAGGAGGGTCCTGGGGGATAATGCCACACCCTCCCTACCCAGGGTGGTCCTGGGGGGCTAATGCCACCCCCTCCCTATCCAGGGTGGTCCTGGGGGGCTAATGCCACCCCCTCTCTACCCAGGGTAGTCCTGGGCAGCTTATGCCACCTCCTCCTCACCCAGAGCAGTCCTGGGGGCCAACGCCACCCCCTCTACCCAGGGCAGTCCTGGGGGGGCTAATGCCACCCCATCCCTACCCAGGGTGGTCCTGGAAGGCAAATGCCACCCATCTTCCTTCCCAGGGGGGTTCTGAAGGGCTAGTGCCACTCCTTCCCTACCCACAAATGTTTCGGGGGGCAAATGCCACCCTTTCCCTACCAAGGGGGATCCTGGGGAGTTAATGCCACCCCCTCTTTATCCAGAGTGGTACCGAGGGGCTAATTCAACCCCCTTCCCTGCCCAGGGCAGTCCTGGAGGGCTAATGCTGCTCCTTCCCTACTCACGGCAGTCCTGGGGGGATAACACCACCCCTTCCCTGCCCAGGGTGGGCCTGAGGGGCTAATACCACCCTTTCCTTATGCAGGGCTGTCTTTGGGGGCTTATGCCACCCCCTCTCTGCCCAGGGCAGTCCTGGAGGGCTAATTCCACCCCTTCCTTAACCAATGCAATCGTGGGGGGCTAATGCCACCCCCTCCCTATCAAAGGTTGTCCTTTGGGCTAATGCCACCAGCTCCCTACCCAGGGAGGTCCTGGAGGGCTAATGCCACACCCTCGCTACCCAGGGCAGTCCTGGGGAGCTAACACAACCCACTCCCTAACCAGGGCAGTCCTAGGGAGCTAACGCCACCCCGTCCCTACCCAGAGTGGTCCTACCTGGAGTTTACCTGGAGAGAGTTCTGGGGGTCAACGC